TTTTGTATTAAATAATAAATCACTTAAAGTTCTTGTTTCTTTGAATTATTTTTCTGTTCAATAAATGTTTTTAAGTCTTTAAATGTTCTTTCTCCTTCATAAACTTCTCTAACTTCATTGTTATTTTGATCTTTTGTGATATAGATAATTGTTGGATAGTGGAAAATTGAATAAATAGAACATAATCGAGATTCTTTGTCACAATTTACCTCACCAATTCTGAGTTTAGATTCTCGTGAAATATTTTCCCAAATTGGTTTTAATCTATTACAATGACCACACCATGGAGCAAAGAATTTGACAAGAGTTGGTTCTTTTGCTATTTCAGTAGAATTTTCAAAAGTGAAAGTGACTATATGAATTGTTTAATATCTTCAATTTCAATACCGATTGTGTGTAATGTTTCTTGTATTTTTTTTGTTTCAAGAGAATTAATAAAAATTGTTTGGTCATTTGGTTGAAGAATAGTGAATGAAGGGTATTGAGTTATTTGATGATTTTCACAATAGTCTTCATATTCTTCACAGTCTATTTGACCAACAATAATATTTTTATTTTGTTGTTTTTGTATTGCTTCATCGAGTTGACTAAATGTACTTTTATAATTTTTATATGTTTCACCATAAGGGATATAATGTAATAATAAGACAGTTTTGTTTTGAGTTAATTGGCGTTGTAGTTTATTTGGATCAAATTCCCAGATATAAGCAGATGATAAAGAGAAAAATAAAATAAAAGGAATGAAAAATAGTAACATTGATTAAAGTTTTAAAGATCCTTCATGATGAATAAAAGATAAAAAAGAATTAAGTTTAATAAAATTAATGAAAAGAATAATTCAAATTAGACAACTTTAATATGTCTGAAAAAGCTTTTAAGATTTTTATATTGCCACCATGCCAAAAGAGCAAAGATGATTATTTGAATAAATGCAAATAATTTTACTCTAAAAATGGTTGAGGCAGTGACAGCTTCAAATTCATCATGTTTTTCTTGTTGGAATTTAATTTCATCTTGAAGAGCTTTAACTAAATCAATTTGTTGTGTAAATTGTATTTCAATAGAATTCAATTGTTCTGTTTTTGCAAGATTTTCATAGTCAATAGCTTCAATTCCAACTTCTAAATTCAATGTAAATTTATATTCAATGTCATATCGTGGTGCATTTGATACATAGAAACAAATTTGATATTCACCTACTTCTTTTGTTGTGAACATAACAACTCCATCTTCATCAATTTGTGCATCTTCTTCTTCTCTATGTAATTCTTGTGGGAAATGAAGAGCATAATGTAAATCGATATTTTCATGCATTTTACCATATTTTCCTGCATTTAATGTAGTGATTTTATAATGAGCGTGAACAAGAGTTCCAACAGGTTCATCAATACTGAAACATTTTGGTGTTTTACCAATAATTTTGAAATATATTTCAGGTTCATTTGTTTCATCTGCAAAAGAAAATGAAAGACAAAGAAGGAAAAGGATTAACATTCTTTTTCTATCTAATTTATTTTTTTCTAAGTTCTTTTTTTAAGCTTTTTTCAAAAAAATGAAAAAGAAAAACAAATAAAATGAAAAAAACCCTTTTTGTTTCATTAGAAACTTTCATATGGAAAACAACAATAATCATATCAATATGGATGAGGAATTTGATGAATTAAATGAAAGTGATAGTCAGGAAGAGATTATTGATGATATTAATCAGGAAGGAATTATTGTAGATAAAAAAGATGGAGAAGAAGAAAACAATGATATGAGTGAAGAACCAAAAGAACTTAATGAAGAAGAATTAGCACAATTGGATGAACAAGAAATGATGGAAGAATCTAGTAGAAGAGTCAAAACTATTATAACGAAATATGGAAATGATATTGATCAAAGAAAAGTTAAAATTGATTTTAATGATGGAGTTATTTGTGTTGCAATTTCAAATGATGGAAAATTTATTGCTGGAGGGTCTTGTGATAATTCATATTCAGTTTATTCAATTGAACACAATATGTCATATAAAAAAACATATGAAAATACAGTCAGTTCATTAGCGTTCAGTCATGATAGCACTCTTCTTGCAGTAGCCAGTTATGATGCAACAGTTCGTGTCATTGATATAACAGGTAATATCAAATATTCTTTAGATGGATATGATGAATTTGAATGGGTTCAATTTCATCCTATGGGACATGTTGTTATTGCAGGATCAGTAGATGGTGCCATTTGGTTATGGAATGGTGATAATGGTAAGTTAATTACAACACTAAATAGTGGAATACCTACTACAATTGGAAGAGTTACTCCTGATGGTAAACATATTGTTGCAGGATATCAAGATGGAAGTATAAGAGTATGGTCACCAAAAACACAAGAATCTATTAAGATGAGTATTTGTCAACCAAATGAGTCTGTTGAAATTACTTCAATAGAAATGATTCCAACATCTAAAATTGGGATAATTGGAGCAGCAGATGGTAATTGTTATTTATTCAATGAAGAATTAGGAAGAATTTGTGCTACACTAAAGTCAGATAATGAAGATACTTCAGTTGAGTCTGTTGGAATGAATAAATTACATTCTAACTTTGCATTTAGTGGTAGTTTAGATGGTATAATTAGAATGTATGATATGGATAATGGACAAATTGTTCATGAATTTATACATTCTGAGGATCATTTTAGTGTAACCAAAATATCACCACTTCAAGGACAATATGTTCTAGCCACATTTGGTATGGATTCAAGAATTAAGTTGTGGGATTTAAGAACAAAGAATTGTATTAAAGAAATGGGTGGGCACCAAGATGGCATTATTTGTGCTGAAGTTAATTGGGACAAAAAATTAATCGTTACAGGAAGTGAAGATAATACAATGGGATTATTCGCTTTATAAGA